TCTTTCTTTCTTTCTTTCTTTCTTTCTTTCTTTCTTTCTTTCTTTCTTTTTTTCTTTCTTTCTTTTTCTTTCTTTCTTTTTCTTTCATTCATTCTTTCTTTCATTCTTTCTTTCTTTCTTTCTTTCTTTCTCTTTCTTTCTTTCTTTCTTTCTTTCTTTCTTTTTCTTTCTTTCTTTCTTTACTTCCAGTTTTCTCTTCTTCGTTTATGATTCATTGTTTCCATAGTTTAAGAATTTTCTTTTATCTTTTCTTTCAAATATTTTCTTTTGCTTTTTCTTTCAAATTTTCCATTTTTCTTCCTCCTTTCTCATCTCTTTCTTTACTTTTGAAATCTTCAAGTCCTTCTCCAAATATCCCCATACCTTTGCCGCGAAATTCTCAAGGATTATAGTCATGTTTTATAAAAAGAATAAAACACTCAGATGCTCATAAAAATTCCTTTTAAAGAATTTCTTCAATTTTATTTTGCATGCTTTCTTTTTTGATTAACTTTCATTCTATTTTAGCTTCTACATTTTGACCTCAACATAATCAAAGTGTACTGAGGAAACCAATTCATGCCGACACCTTTACAACAATTTTCTTTTTTTTTGTGGGTCGTCGCTTCATTTAAGCCGGTTTTATTTTGCTATTTTTTGCCTTTGTTTTTCCTTCTTTCCATTAAATTTGCTTCAGTCTCTTAATTCATTTATCAGTGAAAGCGTTTTATTCTTTGTTTTATAGCAACAACGACATCACATTGATTATAATTAAAGAACTTCACCAGACTACACCCTTCCCCAAGTGTATTAACCTATAGACATTTACTAAGGACTTGGCCACAAACTGTGAGAGGCGTAATGAGAATCGAACTAAATGCAGTTTTAATATTCTGCAAGACTAACTTGTTATCGATTATTCAATATCGTAGCATCTTGATGTAAATATAAAGATCCACCTCGCCGTTGTCATAATGGATCATTTGTTTGCTAACTGTAGTTCCAAAACGAGACACTTGGGGCGAAAAGCTACGTTGCATTCTACGGGCTGTTATTGGAGTGAAAGAGCTACATTAGAAACGTTCTACTAGATAAATTACCAATTACTGAACAGAAAGAGATATTTCTACTAACAAGTCATTTTTTACCGGTGAATCAGCTTAAATTTTTAACTATGTTTTCATTATTTACAGTCGGACTAATGTCTTTATATTTGTTGATGTTAGTACAAAAATTCGACCATTGTACTACGGATTCTTCAGGTGTCTCAATACGGATAACCGTCAGGAAATTTCGAAATGAAGCCTTTATTTAATCTGCAGGTGTAATTCCCATTGATTCTGAATAGAAACTACCAGCTTTAGGGATTGAAAATTGTGCTAGCAAATTCAGGACGCAGAATTTAAAAACAAAATGGTTCCTGATATTTGTGAGTTCAATCTCCAAGTGATGGAATTTAGGCTGAGGAAAAGTAGAACTAACAATAACTAACTACAGAAAAAGAAAAAAAAACAAAATCTTCAGATGTGAAACATTTTCATTCTTTCGCATTCTGTCGATAAGAACGATTTCTGTCAATATCAGCCATTTCAATTTCTACCTTCCCCATTCTGCCAAAGCCAGCCATATCGGTTTCTTCCTTCGACATTCTGCCAAAGCCAGCCATATCGGTTTCTTCCTTCGACATTCTGCCAATACCAACCATTTCTGTTTCTTCCTTCCTCATTGTGTCAATGCTAACCATTTCTGTTTCTCCCTTCTGCCAATGCCAAACATTTCTGTTTCTCGCTTCCACATTGTGCCAATGCCAACTATTTCTGTTTCTTCTTTCCTCATTCTAGCATTTCCAACTATTTCTGTTTATTCCTTCCTACTTCTGCCAATGCAAGCTATTTCTATTTATTCCATCGTCCTTCAGCCAATGCCAACAATTTCTGTTTCTTCCTTACTCATTATGCCAATGCCAACCATTTCTGTTTCTTCCTTCCTCATTCTTCCAATGACAACAATTTCTGTTTCTTCCTTCCTCATTATGCCAATGCGAACCATTTCTGTTTCTTCCTTCCTCATTCTCCCAATGCCAACCATTCCTGTTTCTTCCTTTCCTCATTCTTCCAATGACAACAATTTCTGTTTCTTCCTTCCTCATTATGCCAATGCCAACCATTCCTGTGTCTTCCTTTCCTTATTCTTCCAATGCCAACCATTTCTGTTTCTTCCTTTCCTTATTCTTCCAATGCCAACCATTTCTGTTTCTTCCTTTCCTTATTCTTCCAATACCAACCACTTCTGTTTCTTCATTTCTCATTCTTCCAATGCCAACCATTTCTGTTTCTTCCTTCCTCATTCTTCCAATGCCAACCATTCCTGTGTCTTCCTTTCCTTATTCTTCCAATGCCAACCATTTCTGTTTCTTCTTTCTGCCAATGCCAAGCATTTCGGTTTCGTCCTTCCTCATTCTTCCAATACCAACCACTTCTGTTTCTTCATTTCTCATTCTTCCAATGCCAACCATTTTTGAATCTTCCTTCCTCATTCTGCCAATGCCAACCACTTCTGTTTTTTCCTTTCTCATTCTTCCAATGCCAAACATTTCTGTTTCTGCTTTCCACATTATGCCAATGCGAACGATTACAGTTTCTTCCGTCGTCCTTCTGCCAATGCCAACCATTTCTATTTATTCCTTCTTCATTCTGCAAATGCCAACGATTGATGTTTATTCCTTCCTCATTCTGCCAATCCAAACCATTTCTGTTTTGTTCTTCCTTCTGCCAATGCCAACTATTTTTATTACTTCCTTCCACATTCTGCCAATGCGAACCATTTCTGTTTCTTTCATCCTCCTTCTGTAAATCCCAGGTATTTCTGTTTATCCTTCCTCATTCTCCCAATGTCAACCATTTCTGTTTCATCCTTCCTCATTCTGCTAATGCCAACAATTTCTGTTTCTTCCTTCCTCCCTTTGCCAATTCCAAACATTTTTTTTTCTTCCTTCCCCATTCTGCCAATGCCCACCATTTCTGTTTCTTCGTACCTCATTCTGGCAATGCCAACGAATTCTGATTCTTCATTCCTCATTTTGACAATGGCAACCACTTCTGTTTCTTCCTCCCTCCTTCTGCCGATGCCAACGATTTCTGTTTCTTCCTTTCCCATTCTGGCAATGCTAACCAATTCTGATTCTTCCTTCCTCATTCGCCAATGTCAACCACTTCTCTTTCTTTCTTCCTCATTCTACCAATGACAGCCGCATCTGTTTCTTCCTTCCCCATTCCGCCAATACCAACTATTTCTAATTGTTCCTTCCTCATTTTGCGAATGCCAACCATTTCTGTTTCTTCCTTCCTCATTATATATATATATATATAGAGGCATGGTGGAGTAAAGGATAGTGGCTTGGATTGAAGAATCGGAGAGCCGAGTTCAAATTCCAGTCGAATTCATTACATTCACTTACGTTGCTAATACCCTTGGGAAAGATGTGAATTCTCTTCTTCTCCCTCCAGCTATGGCTAAATAGCAGGACAGACTGGGTTCTATAGCCTTGGATGGCAACTGGTGTAGGAGAAGGACAACTCTGAATGTAAAACCTGCGGAGGGTCGTTTGGGGACCTTGTGGCACGTAGTGCACTAGGTTTCTGTATTCGGCCCTTCAAAATGTGTGGATGGTCCAACATGAAACCTTCACCACTATAATCAAATCTCATGTGCTGTCGGTTTCCTAAGGACTGATCTGCTTGACCCTCATACGTCAAATTCGATGGGAGAGTCGAGTATATATATATATATATATATATATATATATAGTACATTGAGAAAGACAAAGAGTGAAACTATGAAAAGGAAATCAAAATTTGAAACAATTAACAATGAAATTAAGAGATGAAATAAAGGATTTAAAATAATTATAAAAAGAAGGTTCATGTTGGGAATGGACCATCAATTTTGGACATGATTTTTAAATGGAATCATTTATCTTCAGTTAACAGAATCCTGAGTTAATAACAATATAAATGAACTGGAATCATTGCTTTTATTATATCCTTTTCTTTTCTTCTTTTATGTCTTCCCTCTCTTCTTTTTATTCCTCCATTTCTTTCTCCTCTTTTTTCCCCTCTTTTTTATCTTCTTCCTCCATCTATTTCTCTTGTTCTTCACTTTCTCTTTTTTCCTTTTTTTTCATTTGATTTTTTTATCAGCACACCTAACAATTGTTTTGATAATATTTCTCCATAGCTTCTTTTTTCTTTATTATATATGAATTATCCTACCTTGAGAAGACTAATCAAGTGGTTTTCCATGAACCTCTTCATTCTTTTGAATTGTTTCTCCTTCATTTTTCCTCCACCTTCTTCATTTTATTCTCTTTTTTTTCACATTTCTTCCTTCTCCTCCACATTTATTTCATTCATTTTTATTCTTTTTCTTTCTTATCTCTCTTGATTTCATTCCACTTTCTTCTTTCTTTTTTCATCCTTTTCTACTTCTTTCTTCTACTTTCCTTTCTTTCTTTTAAATGAAGGATGAAGAGAAGGAAAAGAATGGATTCTTTGCCTTCTACTCCTCCTTTTACTTCTTTCTTCACTTTCTTCTTTACACCTCCTTCTTCTTATTACATTTCTCCCACCTTTCTCCTATTAATTATTCTTCTCTTTCCCCTTTTCCTCTTCACCACTTCCTCCTACTTTTACTTCTTTAACTTCTGCCTCCTCCTCCTTTTTTTTCCTTCTTCTTCTTGTTTTCTTTGATGCTAACAATCTCAGACCATTTGTCTCTGATTCCATTACACTCTGCTTGCATCACCAATGTATAAAATAACACAGCTAAAAAGACTTTTTGCTCATTGTATTCTGTACGAACGTCAGAAGGAGTTGCATTCTTTTTTTTCTTTTATAAATAAAATTCTGTTCTTTGGAAAAAAAAATTATCATTTTATTCCTCATTATAAAATGTGCCTTTATTTTCTTTCAGTCAAATCCATTTTGTGACACCCTTTTTAAAAATTCTTTTTCTTTGATGTTTCATTTCTTTATGAATATTCCAAATCTCTTTGCATGTTTCCTTTCACTCATAACCTGAATAGCATATTTGCTCCTGGAGAATCTCATATATAGGTCAATTCAATCATTTAGGGGTTAAGAAATTGTTAATCAATGTTACCCATCTGTCGTAATTTGAAGCATGTTGAAAAACAAATTAAAAGAATTCTAATATTTATCACAATGTTTGATAACACTATATTTTAAATCAGGATTTATCAAATTAAATTGGAAAGAAAGTCCTGTCCTGTCATATTTTTAGCATGATCGCTTTGATGAAAACTTTTTAATATTTGCAGTGAAATTCTTTTTTTATATTCTAATTAATCTAATTACTCTGAACTTCAAACTTGCTTAGAAAATCAACATTGAAAGTCGTACATGTCACCAAAGTTCAAAAAGCAGAATAGACAGACTATTTCAAATATTATAATGATTTTAGGTTTAATGTCTGTATTTTCTTAAAGGTTTAATGGCCGAATCTAAGTAGGCCGCTAATCTTGAGCATCAGTTGGGAAGACAGAATTAACATCGGCATACTGGGACATGCTGAAATGACCAACATCAAAGTTATCATCATGAAAACATCAATTTCGATGGAATGGACTTCTGGTGTGAATGGATGATGCCCGCTTATCAAAGCAAATATTTTACTCCTAACGCAAAGAAGGAAATTGGAGAAGACGTCAAAAGAAAGAGATTCAAGGAGGTTCTAAAACAAAACATGAAGAAATGTAATGTCAACAATAACATCTGGGAATCCAGTTCAATCAACAGGAAACTCTGGAGATCCATTGTCAGAGACGGAACAATAATCTTTGAATCCAAATGATCAACTGAACTAGAGGAAAGAAGAAGATGTTGAAAAGAAAGACAGCAATAATCATGGCCTAATCCAACCTGTTATCAATGTTGAAGCACCTTTCAAGCCCAAATCGATCTCATTAGCCATCCCCAAATCCACCATCCCAATTAACCAAGGCAAACAAACAAGACTATCATTCTTGTCCAACTCAAAGAAGAGTCGTGATTTCAAAAATATCTTTAAATTCTTTGTACAAAAAAAAAAAAAATTATTGTTCGAATTTAAGCTGGCCATTAAAAGACCAGTGATTGTTTTTGTTTCTAACCATTTTTTTGAAGCAGGGTCATATAGCCACTAAGATGCAAGGGATTAGTGAGAGTGAAAGAAACTGAGAAAACATTATTGAGGAGAAAGGACAATAAAAGAACAGATTTCAAAAGGACAGAAGCTGATAATTGAAATTACATTTAAATTTTTAATGATCCTAAAAGTTTTATAGATTATGCAAAAGCGATTGATAAAGTATGTCACAAAGATCTGTTGTAACTGCGAGGTAACCTTGACATATTTTGCAAGGATATTAGAATAATCTACAACATATATTGGCAGAAAACGGCTTGTGTATGGATAGAAAATGAATTCAGTAAATATACAAAAATAGAAAGGGGTTTTTCTATTTTTGTATATTTACTGAATTCATGTGTAAGGCAAGCACGTGTCTTCTCATTGGACCTATTCATTCTATATATAGCTAGCCACTTGTATTTGAGGATACCCATCTACCAGGGCACCTAGCCAATCCCTATTGCAGACACTTGCTCAGGAGTATTTGTGTTTATTCAACCCCAGAGAGCCCACTATGCTGAGAAGACCTTAGTTACAGTTTCTGAAAGAGAGCGTGTTATCTAGAGTGATCAAAAATTTGAACAAGGCCAGCACACTCAAGCCCTCATCAAGATGAGTTGTGAGTTCATGCTAGCACAGCTATTGATGGCCCCCAAGGGTCCTGCCTACCTAATTTCACTCAGAAGGCTTAGGTCAACCCATGGTATCATTGTCAGACACTTTCCAAAGGTGCTACATGCTGGGATAGACCCCTCCATTTTGATAACATCAGGAAGTCTCCTTCCTGACAAATCAACCAGGGTGAGATTTGAACCCAGGTCTCATGGTCAAAATGTGAATGTTCTAACCACTTGGCCAGGTGTCCATAATATTCAACCAATACAGTGAGGTGAATTAGTTCTTTATTTATGCAGATGACACAATGGGGATAGCAGACTCAAATAGGAAACTGCAAGAAATCCTACAAAAGGCAGTGAAGGAAAATCAGAAGAAAGAATTGAAATCAATTGCAAGAATGTATACGTGTCAATGACCATGATCCTTCAATATCTATCAGTGGCAGATCCATCTGTAACTTATATTTTGCAGATGACATTGATCTCATAACAGGTAGGAACAGCGAGCTCCAGGACTTGACTAACAAACTTTTTGAAGGAGCAGGAGAATATGGAATGGGGGTCGTCTCTGAGAAATCCATTGTAATAGGGAATAGCACAAACAGTAACACCTGTGTCAACATTACCATGAACGGGAATCCACTGAAAGAAATGTCCAGTTTTAAATACTTTGGAATAATCTTGTCTAAAGATATTACCTTCAATCCAGGAATCA